TATGCCCAAAAACAAAACACATTGCTCGTGACAGCAATGATGACAGCAGTGACGTCATAATGTAAACAGTTTACATTGCTTGCGTAGTACTAAAGATTATTCGAACGTTGAGTACTGATACTGAGCACATTATTTTGATTACTTTGTGTGTGAATTTCTAATGCGACACTGAGTTTCGAACTCAGCGTATTAGTTGGCATCTCTCTATATCTCTATGGAAAAAAAGCATAATCGATTACTTTGAATAACAATCGCGCATCGATGTACAGCAAATAAAATTTGTTCCAAAATATCACCTATTACAACTACATAAAGTACTATCTGAGTTTAGCTTGATGTACCTCATAAAAATCGGCTCGCACTTGACCGCATTGTCTATCCCTGTCATTGAGGTCATCGCCCCCGCCCAAACAATAAACAGATCAGGTTTTATGACTTGTTTACATTAATTTATGAGGACGAAGCTTATTGGGCTAATTCTCGATAGTGCTGGGTGTGTATCGATTGTTGATATCGATAGATTATTAATTAATTAGATAAATTAATAATGTATATAATTTAACCGCCTCTGTGGTCTAGTGGTAAGACCTCCTGCTTCAGACGCAGAGGTCCCGGGTTCGATTCCCAGTGGGGGCAGATTTTTCTGTTCGGTTTGGTTGGTGGTATATCTTACCTAAGTCTGTCGCCATAACAACAATGTTTAACAGCATTGTTGAGTTCCGGCAGTTAGAGGTAAGATAGCCAGTTCCTCCGTGGTTGAGGATTCCGGGTGAAGCTCGCTTCCACCTTCGGCCTGATCACCACTTACCATCAGGTGAGATGCAGGCCAAGATTAGAGCTTCCTCGTTGTAGATATATATAAAAAAAAACAAGTGTGTGTGTTGGATTACTAAAATCGTTTATCGATTGTCGATATCGATACATTGGACAGAGTATGTGTATGGTGGTGTGGTGGTGTGTATGGAGTATGAGAGGGGGGCGCCCCGCACAAGTAAATACGCGTTTTGTTTTGCTCCGTATTCAAAACATAGTTTCGAGTGAAAAAAGTAAACGTATACTAAAGTGCCGTACACCATTAGTCAGCTAATAAAATCCTCAACAGAATAAGTATTTGAGTGAAGCAAATTAGTGAAGTAATATCCAGCAAAATTGAAGAATTTCGTGGAAAAATAAGACCGGCGGCCATTGCCCTTGACCTATTAAAGCGCACGCTACGACCATAAAGCGCTTCAAACGGCTGCAGTTCCGTGCGATAACTAGACGCCAAGTTGCTGTAAAGCGCTTTTTACGCTGCACCGGTAACGGTATACGAAGTGAACAAGGTGTTTTGTGATTGTGAATTTAGCTATTTTTTGCTGATAATATGCAAAANTCCATCAATCCATAGACTATGCAGATCAGATTCTAGATTCCTATGTCGGGTGTGGTCGACCTAGATTTGTCTGATAACAGATAGAAACAATGGGAAGCTAGATAATAATTCGAAGATTTAAACTTGAACCTAAAATAGGACTTTGCTTTCACAAGACTTCGATCGGTAGGTATTGCAAGGAAGAATAGCTTTATTTGGCATCAACAACAAAAAGGTGATTGAATATTCAAAAAACTATCACCATCAACTATCGCACCATTTTTACCCGACTGCGCCAGAAGCTGTTCTTTTTCTTGTCATGTCGACAACAAACCTATACAGTGTCAGCCCAAAACTCCTTTACAAGAGTGGCGTTATCAGTAGCATTCAAGTCTTCCTGCGTGCAGTTGGGCACTCAGGGCTTGACATCGTATGCTTCATCGACTGGGGAACAAAACCGCATGTGAACTTTAAGTTTGAGCCATCCAAGAATCCCCACCTGACCAGATTGTCCTTACTACGGCCTACCGTCCGTCCGAAGTCTATTTAAAGACGTCCAGGTCAGCCAAGGGAGCTCATGTCTAGGTGGAGGACTCTTAGACATAGGGACAAAAGGGCAGGTAAGATCAGTAGGTTATTTAAAAATAATGGTAGGGCAAAAAAAGAATGAGACATGTATAGGCTCCTTAAGAGCATTTAACGATTTGCAAGAACTAATTTAATTAGTCTAAACAAATAGAGAAAATTTTGATTTTGATTTTAATATGTTTTTTATATCCACAACGGAGAAGCTCTTGGCCATATAAGATAACCAACCAATAGGATGTTTTAAGTGCCGAAACACAACAATGCTCTTATTAACATTATAAAATGTATCATGGCTTACTAATAAAAATAGTGTAAAGTATGGTTTAGGTTTAAAACGTAGTACTAGTACGTTTATTAATAAAACTCATACTAAAAACTAATTTTAGACACGAAACCTTATAAAATTCTTCCAATGCTATTTATAGTTCTATTAATTGTGGCTTGATACCTTCATCCTTATTTTCCCTTAACATCCCTTCATCCTTCACATGCGGGTTCACTGACCCGTCGTTAAGCCGGTTTCAATTTTCAGGGGGTTCCGTATCAATATTTTTACAGTGTACTGTTACTATCATTAACTGTTCATCAACCGAATGGATTTTTATCTATCAGATAGCCATTGTAATAAACGTAAAAGGTTTACGATTATGACGTGATTTGGTAAAACAATAAATGGTTATCGGGGTAGTAAAATATTAATATTATTATTACGTTTGTTTGGGCAGTTTTTTTTTTATAATTCCTATTCTCAAATTATAAATAGGTATTGTGAGAGTAATTAGAACGCTACCAAAGTAAGATTCATATCGTAAAAGAAATTAAGACTGAGTTGCACCACCTAACTTTGACCGTAACTTTAACAATCATACATAGTTATTTTGATACTGAAATAAATTACTTAAGTTTGTATGTTACTTTCTCAGTTCTTTAGTAGGAATAAGTGGAATAGTTTTGACACTCAAATGGGCCTTATTTACTTTCAAATATAAATAAATTTATTATCATCATTCCAGTCACAGGACGTCCACTGCTGAACGTAGACCTACCAATGGTTTCCAGGTGAGCCGGTCGGTATAATATATATACCTGCTGGATGCAGGCCGCTGTAATATAGCGGCCTGCATCCAGCACCTTACTGCTATCTTTAAGAGGTCGTCTGTCCACCTTGTGTGTGAAATAATCCTATCAGAACTAAAATCAAGCCTATGATTGGTGGCTTATAAGAATCAGAATAAGTAGAGCGTGACACTTCAGAAGTAGGCAACAAGCTTTATTCACATTTTATACAAAATCGAATAGAATCAAAAGATTTTTTTATGCATAACAAGGCAGGTATTTGACCGCAATCGCACCTGGTGTTAAGTGAGATGCAGGTTAGGATGGTACATATCTGCCCTGTAAGTGCCTATTTATTCGCTTGATATATCGAGAAGCGAATGTTAAGGCGTGTGCACACGAGCAGATGAAGTCCTATTTAAAGGCAGCGGAACAGTTTAACTTAATGAGACGGGCCGCGTGCGCGCGACGCGAGCTTTATTATGCCATAGGGTTGTGCACACTGCAAGATATGATTGTTAAAAGATAGCATGACGATTTTAATGACTACTTATGTTTTTGTGATAGAATACTGACAATGGGCTACTGAACAATTCACACTCATTGTCAATACAAGGACTTTTTCATGAATTGAATTAAGGTTATCTATAGCTACTGAGTTACTAAACCCACAACGAGATATGGGAAAGATAAAACCAGAGAAAGTCCTCGAAGAAAACTGTCTTGGATTCTGAAACGAATATAAGAATTCGCAGTAATAATGTTGATATGCTAGTAACTGTTGTAACTTGTAAAGCGAGAGACAGATGACTGAAGTTTTCTTTTTTTTTTCCACTGACAAACCTTATGTCGACTTATTTAGATAATTGACTAGGAATGAGGTTTTCAACCCACCACTGGCACACTCAATCTACACCAAAAAACACAGTTAAAGTAAAACGATATATTAACAGCCTCGCTTTCACTGGGCTACAGTCCTAACTCTCGCACGTGAGCACACGTGGTCACAATATTTACACAGGGGACGCTCTCTGCATATTTTGTGCTTATTACGCGTCGCTTGAGATATTACAGCTTAATCTGGACGGCGTGCATGTTTGGAGTTTATTTGGGAAATAGTTTACGAACTGACCGGCTTTAGAACAGCAAATCCTTTGGCCTACAGTTAGGATTATTTGTAGGTGGGTTTTTTTTTTTTTATATTTACTATTGGGATTTCATGTACATTTAGGCTGGGTTGCACCATCTTACTTTAACTTTGTACAAACGTCAAAAATCTGTCAAAATCCATACAAAAAGCACCGGTTAACGTCAAAGTTAGGTGGTACAACTCAGCCTTAGGATCTTATAATAGTTCCATCCTACCAACCGGGCGATGTGGAAATCATTGGAGGAGGCCTATGTTCAGCGGTGGACGTCTGTGGCTGAAATGTGATGATGATGAATAGTTCCATACCAACAAAAAGTATTCTTTATAACTTACCTATTTGCAAGAAGAAATATCAGGGTAACAGGTTCGAATCTCGTTGTTTCTTGATATTTATTAAACACTTGAGGCATGAATAAGGTCCTATATTAATACTCCGAAAAGTTGTTTTTTACTACTAGATACAACATAATCTTATAACAGCTTTCCTTTAGCTTAACTTTTGGAATGATTGTATGTTAAACCAAAGGGAATAACGAAAGAAAGGCAAATAATTCTAACACCAGAACCAATCAAAGAGTTCAATTCAACGCTGTGCGTTCGATTTGCTGCTTCGTGAATACGGCCGTAAGAACTCTAATGTTCTTAGGATCTAATATGTATTTCTAATCCCATCAAAAACAATACTTGTCAAAAAAACCAAGTCTCGCAACTCAGCATATGCAAAAAATGGCGCCCTATGGAATGTGTGCGGGATGTAAAAGTAAGCTAACGAATAGACTCTTTATGATATGCTGTAAGTGCAGCGAAAAATACGATATAGAATGTGCTAACATAAATGAGAAAATTTTCAATCTGATGGACAAACAACGAAAATCACAATGGATATGTCAAACATGTAAAAATAGTGTACCCAAATCTGACAACCAAAATACACCACTACGGGGATCATATTGTACACCTGAAGAACTTAATCCTCCGTCAAGTGAAAACTTGCCTGTTTTTAACCAAATATCGCCCGAACACAACAATATCACTATAAGGAAGCGAATAGAAAACACCAAAAACGACACAGCAAACTCAGATGACCTAAGCCTGCTAGGAGACACACTAAATACAGATGACAGAGACACCACCTTGTTGAAGAACCTGAACGAAACAATAGTATTACACCTGAAAGAAAATAACCAATTAAGATTTGAAGAATTGAAAAGATTGTNCATAAAACCGCATAATTCAAAAAATATATACAATTGTTTTAGGTACAACTCTGTCCAAGGTTCAACAGGTTCCCCTATATGTCTGTCGTTACACAATATATTTCAGAAGCAAGCAATTACTTCATCTAAAGTCACTTTTCATTATTTTTTGTAAGGAATTTTTATGAGGTACTTATTTATTTATTTTTGGGAAACATACAGTTATAATATAATTTAACTTAAGTGCAGTAAGAAATTTGAAATTAAGTAATGAAATTTTATAAACATGAGTTAAATGACCATTACTCTTAAACTAACTGACTTATCTTATCCGTTATAATTTTCCTTGAAAGTTCATAAAAAGCACTATTGTTATGAATTTTTCCAGATTTTTTAAGCCAACAGTTTAAAGTAGGGGGACGCCCTACTCAAACAAAAATTGGCACTTTAAACTTTAATAATTTGCAAACAGATTCCTAAATGGAAAAATAATCTTAGAAACCCCTAAGCCATTTTTAAAGACCTATCCAATGATACCCCACACGATGGGGTTAAAGATGAAAAAAAATCGTCCTTACGATAATGTAGTCCGCTCTACCCTAAAAAAATTGTTTTTTCCAAATTTCATTTTACCGTTTTGTCGGCGTGATTAATATACTATACCTCCACAAAATTACAGCTCCCTACTGCCAATAGTTTCCAATCAAAACCTCGGACAGACAGACAGACATATCGAAACTATAAGGGTTATCAGGACTACGGAACCCTAAAAATACCTTGTACAGTCGATCGTGGACATATGTGCAGTCGGTAAAATTCAGCGTCAAGGTTTGCTTAGAAGTTTCAGCGTCCACATAGCAGTCAATATTCGCAACGCATACATTGTCCCCATAGTTAGGGAAGTATACAACAAGTCCATCTTTAACGGTCTTATTAAGTGCTGAAAAGGTTTTATAGCATGAAAATTCGTGGTTACTTATCTTTTCAACCGACTTCAAAAAAGGAGGATTCTCAATTCGACCCGTATGTTTTTTTTTCTATGTTTGTTACGCGATAACTCCGCCAATTATGAACTGATTTGAACAAATCTTTTTTCGGCGTATAGGTAATACCTCAAGGGTGGTCCCATTTAAATTTAATAATAGAAAAAACAACCCCCAAGGGTGGAAAATCGGGGATGAACTTTTTTATACGCAATATCTCCGCCGATTATAAATAAATTTGAACGATTATTTTTTTGTTGAATAGGTATTATCAAAAGGATGGTTTCATGCGAATTTGAAGAAAATATTTCACCCCCAAGGGTGGAAAATTGGGGATGAACTTTTTTATACGCAATATTTTTAATTTTTAGTTTTTTTTTGTGTTCACGCATTTGAAGTCGGTTTTATTTTTTTTAAAAGTTAATTATTAATCTTAATAAAACAAGATCGAAGAAATTAAAAGACCTTTATATGTAGAACCGAACCGTTGGTCGATAATTGGGCCCGATTCTAATTTGTATGAAGAATCGACCGATACCAAAACGGTGTAATTTGCGCACTTTCATACAATATCTCCATACTGATTAACAGCCCGACCGGACTCAACTACGGCCAACTAAAAGTCGGTAGTGTGCGCCCAGGCTTAAGGAAGACTACAGACTTTTTTATCGGCCGATAGTTTCGGGTTGTTGACATGAAAGTGCGGTCTTTAGATACACCGATTTGGTATGGGTCAATTCATTATAAAAATTAGAAGCCATTGAAACAATCGGCTGAAAAAAGTCTATAGACTGCGGGGATTCTAAAGGTTGCAGTTGCAAATGTTGCAATGCAATTTAAACCGGAGAATTGAAAAACTATTTATTATTGTAGAGAATCATAACTTACCAGCGTTTAGCGTTTCATTGACTGACATGACTGGTTCTGTTTCACAGCTTTCGTAATAAATTTTTACCTGCCGACAATCAATCCATGCTTATGAAATGTTACTAATGATCATAATTATGCTTTATCGTTCGTTCGTTTCTGCCAAATGACGTCCACTGCTGGACAAAGGCCTCCCCCAAGGCTTATCACTTTCTATCAAGTGTTTATTTTATTAAGTAGAAAAAAGACAATTTCGTAGTGTCATTTGGCACTAGTTCAATCTATATATTTTGTGAATTAATTCATACTAAAAAACCTAGAAATCGCAGCTGACATATTAGGTGATTTTTCGACTACAAATATAATATTATGCTTTGTTCTTCTATCGGGGAGGTTGTTACAACTAAGATCACCTTTTATCTATAACCACAGGTTACTAATAAGTTATGCTATAACGTAAGACTTTATGAAACTACTAGCTGTGCCCGCGACTTCGTACGCGTGAGTGTTTTGAACATTTTGGTTTGAGTTTAGCCTGCTATGTCCTAATGAAAAGAATATTACCACCAAATCTGTAGATGTTGAAGTATAAAAGTTAAAAAATGAATTCATATTTAAGTAGGTTCTTACCTAAAAAGGATTTGTTGCAAAATCACAACCTGTATAATATATTTTAAATCAAAGACATCGATGTGAGTTTTATTATTGTTTTTATTTGTTCAATTAAAACTGACACCTTAAAAACAGTACATTGTATTCTTTAAACATTATATTACATTTAAAAACAGTACATTGTATTCTTTAAACATTATATTACATTTTTATAATATAATATAAATACATGATAAATATAAATAGTCAAATACAATATTTAAATTCCAAAATTTCTTTACAAAATTAAAATTATTTCTTATCAGACGGAATATTCAGTATAATGATAGGGTCAACTTCCAGTCTTTGGACAAAACACCCCTCAAACGTATTTAATGAATATTACTACAAATGCAAATTGCAACTTATCACCTTTCCTTCCTTTCCATCATCCGAATCTCTTGGTTGTTTAATAAGTAGAAATGCTATCTTTAATCATTAAATATCTGTCCAATAGCCCATAGTAGACCCCTTATTAATTAAAGTTAAACCCTAGTTAAACTCAGGCTTAAATTGTCATTTAGTATGGAAATGTCATTTTAATCCAGGGTTCATCTTAGGTGTAACTTATTAATAATAAGTGGGTAAGTGTCCACTGACTGGAAGTTTGCATAAAGAACAGCCTCTTATGAATAAAATACATGAAATCCAAAGATTTCAAGTAAGACTGCCAAGTGGAACGTGTAAAAGTAGAGACGACGGCACTGTGTTACGTAGGTAGTTGTGATAAATGCGATTTTACAATAAAAATAAATATATTATGTGCTGGTCGTCTGTAAATTCACATTGCAAGGGTGTTGTGACGCGTAGTGTTTCGTAATTCACATTGCAAGGGTGTTGTGACGCGTAGTGTTTCGGAATTCACATTGCAAGGGTGTTGTGACGCGTAGTGTTTCGGAATTNAACCTGAACGAAACAATAGTATTACACCTGAAAGAAAATAACCAATTGATAGTTGCAGAGCTGAAAAATACTATACAATCTGAAATTCAAAAAGCAATTTCGAAATTAAGAGAAGAAGTTAACGACAAAACGAATACACTGTCAGAACAAAATTTGAAAACAAATGAAGACATAAAGTTAATAAGCACTAAGATAAAAAAACTACAAATGGAAAATGAAAAATTGAAACAGGAAATAGAAAATTTATCAACCAAGGGAATGTTACCTGCGAGCAGAACGGAATGCTGTGATACAAACACTAAGAAAATTGTACTTTACGGCTTCGTCGAATATTACAAAGAGCCTGAACACGACCTGCACAACAGACTCATTGAATTATTCCAAGAAACCATGAATGTAAACCTAATGGGATATATAGAAAATATGTACAGAATAGGAAGAACCGGTAAAAATAACCGCCCACTTGTAATTGAGCTACTGAGCAAGCGGATGGCGAAATACGTGACTAATAACAGTCATTGCTTCAAAGGAACCCGACTCTCAATATCTACATTTTTGGACGAGACCGCAAGAAAGGAAAGATACTTACTACGGGAAGAGATGATTAAGGCAAGAAAAAAGGGTATGCATGCAATAATCCGCAATAACCAACTATTTGTAGACGGGAAAAAGATGGAAATAAAGCAAGACACGAGCCCTAAACAAGATAACTACAACATTATAAATGAACCAAGAGACTACCAGATAAAGAGCAAAAATGGTATAGAAACACACCCACCAGGACAGTCTAGCAAGAACATTCAGAATAATTTATTTCGAAACCACAGATCTACAATTTAAAACGCTATTTCAAAACATACAGAGTCTCTATAACAAGAAACATATACTAGAAGCCTTTATAGACCAAAAACCAATATACAATGCAATATGCATAACTGAGTCCTGGCTAACACCTGAAAAGCTGGAAAATATGCATGTTACCGGTTATAAAATAGCATCCTCATTCTCCAGAACCAAACGAACTGGTGGTGGGGTGTGTATCCTACTGCAAGAAAATATTGAATATAAAGAAATAATTGCTCTCACTAATATGTCTATTGAGTATGTTTTAGAAGTGTGTGCATGTGAATTATTAAACGAAAATTTACTACTAGTAACTATGTATTGGAATAGAAGAGAGGAAGATGTCTTTCTTAACCAACTAAAACTAATTCTAAAATATATAAATAGTAAATACTCAAAAATAAATGTGATAATAGGAGGTGATTTTAATATAAATATATTAGATAACAGTCTGAAAACAAACCAATTTTTAGACCTCATGTTAGAATACAAATTCACACAACATATAAAANCGTAGTGTTTCGAAATTTACATTGCAAGGGTGTTGTGACGTGTTTGGATTTAATATTCACAAACTTTAATAACAAAAAATTATTCACAACCGTCGAGGAACTGGGATTTTCAGACCATAGTGGAACAGTTATTCATTTAGATATACCCCAAAAAATTAAACCAACAGCTTGGTACACTAACAAAAGAAATTTTAATGAGAAAAACATGCTACAATTTAAAACTCAATTAACCAATATTAACTGGCATGAACTTCTTCCAATAAATCAAGATGTAAATGTAAATTATAATATATTTAATAACACACTACTAAATATTTTAAACGAGAGTATACCTATTTGTAAAACAAAATTAAAAACAAAATTTAAAAAGTACTGGTTGACAACGGGTATAAAAACATCATGTAAAAATAAAAGACTTTTAAAAATACTTGTACAAAAAACCAAAAACTCAATAATTACACAATATTATAAACGATACGAAAAAATACTAAAANCTGTATCTGCTGCAGCAGATCTGGTTCTCAACCATGTACAACTTCAAGAACAATGACATATCGCCCAAAAGTCTCTCTTCGAAACTGTTGTCTCTCTTCGGACACGTCATGTTTATTTCTGTATTTATTTATCGAATTATAGTCACATCTATAAATAATAAAAAGACCTTAGGTATAAGCCGTGTGGCTCTCTATTATGATTTGATTTCGTGCTGCGTTGGATTTGTTTTAAATTTTATGACTTTGATTTACAACCGTCGTAATAATGCGAAAATTATTTCGCAGATCAATGGAATCAGCAAATTGTTAAACAGTAAAAATTTAATATTGAATTTTAGGAAGTGGAATTGGTATTTGTTTATTCCTATTTTCTTAAAATTTGCATGGATGGTTTATTTATCAGTATACTTGGAGGGGATCGCTTATCTTGTGTGGGGTTTTCCTTTAATATGCTTCGATGTGTGCATTTATCACGCAATAAGATCTATTAGTTTGCTAAGGATGCTGTTGCTTTTGTGGGTTAAAGAAATCGAAAATGATACTGACATTTCTGAAGAGGACTTGGAATATGAGAATAATAAAGTGACGGTATTGAAAATATTTTTCGATATTATTGAAACTTTTTCCTTGATTACGGGGACGTTTAAAGTGATGGTAAGTTTTTTTAAATGATGTAACAAGTGACTCTTAGGCTGAGTTGCACCATCTGACTTTAACTTTGACAAACGTAAAAAATCTGTCAAACTCCATACAAAAAGCACCGGTTATTTATTGTTAATGTTGCGGTTAAAATAAGGTGGTGCAACACAGCCTTAATATTTTAACTACCTAGTGAGTTTTAAATATAGATGTCAATCATGAAATCTCGATTGTTCAAGGTGGCGTACTATATTACACATAATTTATTTTTTGGTTTATCGCAAGTGAATGTTTTAATCACAATCTTACTATCTTTCCCTGAACATCATTATTGGGTGAGTAAAATTGAAGCGAGCAGTGTGCTCATAAGTGTACCTAATGGTTGATAGTTTTGAAAAAATACCTATATAGTATTCCTTCTTTTTGCAAATGGGTACATTCTTCATCTGCAAATCCTACTATCCTATTTCCTACTAGTCTATAAGACTCGTCGTAAAGCGACTAATATTATAAATGCGAAAGTTTGTGTGGATGTCTGGATGTTTGTTACTCTTTCACGCAAAAACTACAAGACGGATTTTGATGAAACATTACAGTATTATTGTTTATAACCCAGAATAACATATAGGATATAATTTATGACGATCTGTGACAAACTAAATTTCACGCGGGTGAAGCCGCTGGCAAAAGCTAGTTATGTCATATTTTAACTTTTCTTAAACCGCAATAAAGACTTGTCGTAAAGCGACTAAGGGACAAATATGCGAACATCAGGTTTCCGCAACCCGTCTGTCCAGCGTGGAGACTGAGAGTGTAGGCTTAATTGTCAATTCACCTCTGGTATTAGAGAGGGACAATGATTTAACATTACTTACCTATATTATTTTCAGTTCTTTAAAGTCTATCCAGTAATTTTACTGTGGTGGTTAAAAAATATGATCATCATAAGTGCCCTCTGCTCGGTATGCGAGCTCTTTTACTCCGGCGTGAGAGACGCTGAGGTGGCGTGCTTAAAGTATATGGGCTCGAGGAAAAATACNTACTAAAAAGTGCTGTAACAATAGCGAAAAAAATACACTATAAGAGAATAATGAATAAATCTAATAATAAAGTAAAAAGCATGTGGAGTATCATAAATGAACGAACTAATAAAACAACAAAAAAGGAAAAGCAAAATATAAAACTAAAAATAGATAACAACCTTATGACAAATCCAAAACAGATCGCCGACTACTTTAATTCATTTTTTGCCTCTATTGGAAACAAGAACACACACTCATCCAATAATAGTGAACCGTCAGGTGTCCCAGTGCTCCAACCTATTGAAAACACCATGTATCTTAGACCTGTAGAACTTCGCGAAATCAACTTGATCCTAAAAAGCCTAAAATCAAAAAAAAGTCACGGGTTAGACGAACTTCCACCTATCCTTTTTAAGTACTGTGCAGATGAACTAACTTTGCCATTATTCAAATTAATAAATCAATCATTCGATGAAAGTACTGTACCTGACCAACTGAAACAGGCTCTAATAAAACCGATTCATAAGAGTAATTCAAAATTTGATCCTAATAATTACCGCCCTATAGCGCTTCTACCCACTGCTTCAAAAATTTTTGAAAAAGTCATGTGCAATCGTATTTATTCTTTTTGCGAAAAATACAAAATACTCGACGACTGCCAAAATGGGTTTCGAAAAAATAGATCTACAACTCTTGCAGTATATAAATATATTCAAAAAGTACTTGACATCATCAATAGCAAACAATATGCAATAGGAATTTTATTAGACATGACCAAGGCATACGATAAAGTTAGATTCAATATCCTATTGGATAAGCTACATGGAATAGGTATACGCGGAAAAGCCTATGAATGGCTTAAGTCATATCTAGCCAATAGGGAACAAATAGTAGAAATAGAAGTTTTTGATGAAAATACTAACACAATAGGAAAAATTCGTTCTAATAATAAATATCTAAATGCCTCAATACCTCAAGGAAGTGTTATTGGGTGCTTACTTTTTCTCTTATATATAAACGACCTGCCTAAAAACATACAGGTACCAAGTGTTCTATTTGCCGACGATGTATCCTTGCTCCTCCCATGTAAAACAAACCTAAATCTAGATGTAACTCTGAAGAATGTACTTACCACAACAGTAAACTGGCTGCAAAAACACAATCTAGAAATTAATTTCAAGAAAACTAAATTAATGTCTTTCCATCCACATCAAAAGCCACCTATAAATATAAACTTCACCTTTGAAGGGGCTCAGTTGGAGGTAGTTAACGAGTTTACATTGCTCGGATTAACAATAGACACTCATCTTAGTTGGAAACCCCATATAAAAAAAGTAAGAGCAAAAATATCCAGTTTCTCATATGCCCTCCGTGAAATTAAAAAGACCACAGACTTATCCACAGCATTAACCACCTACTATGCATATGCCCATTCATGGCTCTCCTATGGAATTATATTATGGGGAAATAGCACTGACGCACCTACAATTTTTACTCTACAAAAAAAATTAATTAGAATACTTGTAAATATAGAACAGACGGACACTTGCAAACCACATTTTAGAACACTTAAAATTTTAACTTTACCGTGTATCTACATCTTAGAAATATGTAAATTTGTCTTTAAATACCCTGAATTCTACACTAAAAGAGAACATGTCCAAACCACCCATCAACTTAGACACAGAAATAAATTAAACTTACCTTATTCCAAAATGTCAATGTTTTCTTCCGGTCCGTTGGTAATGTCTATAAAAATATTTAATAAGCTACCCAATTTTCTCAAAACCGAAACTAAACTGAATATCTTTGTTAAGAAATTAAAACTCTTCCTTATTAATAAAAGCTATTACAACATTAAAGAATACTTAGAAGACAAGTTCTAATAAAAATGCAACTAAGTATGTATGGTAAAATATAATATAATGTGCAATAAATAAACCTCAAATGCTATAAATTTTAAATAAATAAATATACCAGGTATACAATAATAAATAAATATGCTAAGTATATAAATTTTAATATAATAGGATATAATATACATAACATACCAAAACTAAATCCTGCCAAAAAAAGTAGCCCTAAGTGCAATAATTTAGATGAAAATATAAATATAAGTATAATGAATAATAAATATTAAATAAGTATAATAATAATAAATACAGATTAAAAATAAATTTGATAATTAATAATCATAGAATAATTAATGCAATAAATCTAAAAATCTTCCTCTCTCCTAAAATGCAGTGCCCGACAGGGTCCATAATTGTATCTTACCTTACCAATAACACCTTTTGTAAACATTATGGAAGCAATAAACTATTGAGTATTGAGTATTGAGTATTGACGCGTAGTGTTTCGGCGCCCGCAGCTCTCATGTCATCGTGTATTTAAATAATAAATTACTCTTTTAAAATGTATGCAGAAATAATGTACACACCCGCCCCGTAGCAATGTGAATATACCCCTTTATTTTATTCCGTGGCACCTTTGCATCTCAAAAAAAAATAACTGTGAACAGAATTAATATTTTTAAGGCTGAGTCGCACCACCTACCTTGACCGTAAGTTTGACGACAACGTTGTTTTTTGTATAGAGTTTGATAGATTTTTGACGATTGTTAAAGTTGATGTAAGATGGTGCAACCCAGCTTAAGACTAGATTTTTAATTTTGTAATAACACTTTAGTGTCCTCAAATATTTTTATACGCTTTATAATTTCATATTAATTATATTAATATTAAATAATGCTGTACAAATGTTTACAATAGTTTTCAATTAACTTAACATTTGTCTTCACGTTTCTTATCTAAACAATACTACAAGGTACTGGTAAAGTTTACTATTATAACTATTCTTAATCTTTGGAAAACATAGCTACCTGGCATCCTAAATAAATACTTATACGTACAAAGTCTATAATAGGTGCACTTATCCTATATTTTATATGAACACAACAAAGGAATTTAAACATGGATTTTAAACGACGAAAGGACTAGAAACGGCCTTGCACATATTATTCTCCATATAGTTTCGTTCTCGGGCAAGATACGTCATAATACCACTGTACATAGACAAAGTGTAATGTAGACAGCAGACAGATAGTGTTTTAGAATGTTCTTACGCAATATTGTCGAAATTCTGATAAAAAGCACTCGCAATACTCAGCAGCCTAGAATACCCAACAACTTCACATACATTTCCTACGTGTAGGTACATACCTAGCATCGATAGGTTGTAATCAAGTATAACAGAACCAACAATTTTAGACTCAAACTCACTGTCTTACGAAAGGCATTTAAAATCTGTCTCTACATTATACATTAAAGCACTGTACACCTGGAATGACTGACCCTACTTGCGACCTATTTGGAAGCGCTCGCTGACGTCGCGGCCACCTTGAAGGCAGCTCGCTCCCGGCGGCGGTCAGGAGAAGCGCGAGTCGTCCGGCGACGTCAGTGACCGCGGCTTCGACGTCTTAGCCTCGATCGACGACGCGCCCTCCGTCCCGGCGCGCCAGCCCGGCCCGATGCTCCTATTCGTATAAGTGGACGACGTGACCGGAACCTTCCTCGTCTGCTTTATCTTCAACTTATTCAACCAGAGATCTCTCGTCTTCTTATTGCCGACAACGAAGAATATGAACAGGACGAACCCCTGATACGTGGCCGTCAGATTGAAAAAGTAAGCCATCACGACGTTGGACGCAAAAAGACCGAAAATCCACGGCAAACCGAACAGAAACACCAGGAGGCAGCTGACCGAGGCGCACCGGAGCGCCTCGTTCGAGTCGCCGTGCCTCTGGATCCTGCGGGAGGCGAACACGGAGCGCACTATCAGGAGGAATAGTACCCAGTTCGTGAGGAGCATGAGCGCGATGGGCGCGTATACGGCGAGGTAGAGCCCGAGCCCGGTGGGGTAGCAGAAGCTCTGCGCCGGCTCGGCGTCCTCCAGGCGGCCGGCGTAGGAGCGCGGCGCGGCGGCCAGCAGCACGCCGACCACGGCACACGGCGCTCCCCACGCGAAGGCGGCGGCGCGCAGCAGCTTGTGCGACACGTCGCGTGTGAACACCAGCACCAGCCGCCGGTACGACAGCACCGCCGCCACCAGCATCCAGCAGAACGACGCCAGCACGCCGTAGTGCAACAACACGCCCACCAGCATGCACGGCACGTCGTAGCGCTCGAAGTCCACGAACACGATCGCCAGGAAGCATGCGGACACGAGCAGGATGGCCGCGCACAGCTGCAGCCAGATCTTGTTGCTGTAGTCGCGGCGCCACGAGCGGAACAGCGCGGCGGTGAGCCCGATGAGCAGCAGGCCGGCGATGGAGAAGCAGCAGCCGACGACGGAGAGGATCTCGAGCGCGCGCTCGTCGCGCTCGGAGAACACTGTGCGCGGCACGAGCACCTCGGCGAAGTGCGTGAGGTGGTCGCAGCGGCAGGTGTCCATGGCGCCGGCTTGCGTGGCGCGGATGAGCCGGCAGCCGTCGCGCGCCCAGTCGCCGCCGGAGCCGTCGGCGCGGAACTGCCAGTACGCACACACGCGGCTCTGGTTCCGCTCCGGCGTCCCCACCAGCGGCGTCAGGTGGATGTCGATCACCTGGAAATTGTTACATTTCTCAGTGAATTAATAGCGAAGAAATACGAGCTAATGTTATGGCATTCTCGGGCGAGATCATGCGCAAGCCTCCTCTTTTACAGGCGTCTTCAATGCTCAAGCGAAGCGGGCGGCAAGCCTCTGCAGTTTTATCGTTCGACATACGTAATAATTTTTTTGCCATTTAGCACTCGATTAGAAGCATATAAGTATGTTTTGTACAGAATTACCTACGGAATCCATTTTAGAGTCGATTTTCAATTACATCACTTAAGATGGGCATTCCTAAATTAGAAGCGACGGTAAAAATGAACTAACACTTTTAATAATCACCCGCTCCACTGCCGTTTTTAACCAAAACCGATTTATCCCAAACCGGGATTTGAATTATAAACCAGCAGATCAATTCCAGAATAAAAACATATCCATGACTTACATTCTGCTATCATATTTATTGAAAATGTCCACAAATTGAATAATAAAAGTTCGACATATTATTATAGGTACATTATTTATTATTTCAATAATCTAGCTAGAAGGATATGAAATTGTTCTGCTGATTTCTAATACACCATCAAATATTAAAGTGCCCAAAGCCCTCCATTCCAAGCGGCACGTGGTATGCATGTGTGCTTCTCTACTTGTGTTCAAATTATTCAATTAAGTGTAGATTTAAACAAAATACGCACGTAAAAACTAAAAACGTCCAATGGGTCTCGCTCATCAAACGATATACATAATAGTAATATTGTCCACTACAACTTTGCTAGACATCGCAGTACATCTTTTACTCTCATTCGCTTGCAATCGACTAAATAATCACCCACCCCTGTAACTTCTGTGTAACCAGTACCTACGGCTTGAACGCCAATAAAATCTCAACCAGTGAAGGTCAAGTTAGATAAGTAAGCGATCATTGGAACCACAAAGACACAGATCAGAAGAACTTAGGAGGAGTTCGAAGTTAAGGATCGCCTTCCCTCCAGTGCAAGATATGTGCAAGCGTCACAAACAAGAGCGTGCGGTGCTCTGTGCAGATAGGCAGTGTTTACCAGGCAATCGGTGTTTTGTTAAAATCAATGTTTGGATGTTAAAGCTCCCTGCCTTCAAACATAAACCAAATCTATTGCCTGCCACTGGCTGCAAGATGCTAAGTGAAGAAGGCTAACCAAACCATAACCAAAAATTAAGAAAACCTCCACATTAAAGCTGAAAAGAGCGTTACTGCGGCGTATGTAGCTATGGAAAGGTACTATAGTTATTGTAACCCACGTTGTTCAGAGCGGGTTCACCACTATAGTCCAGTGGCGTCTAGATAGACGGCTAGCCTCCTCTCAACTTGCCCAGGCCCCCGCCATTTTAATGAGAATCTGAAGTTGCGCTCAATGTGTTAAAGACTGCCTCAATGACTGGAAGGCTCGTTGGTAAACTACTGTGACGCGCCTCACGGGTCACGGACTCCGGCAGGTGCACCACCGCCTAAGACTCACTGCTCACAGCCCTGTCAAGCTCATGTCCTCACCTCTCCCCGCTCGAAGTGCGTGAGGTTCTCCACGTTGACGCTGAACACGCGGCTGTTGACGCTGTACTCAGACTGGAAGGCGCGCTCGTTGCGGAAGGCCACGAAGCTGATGCGGCGCGCCTCGCGGGTCACGGACTCTGGCAGGTACACCACCGCCTCTGACTCACTGCTCAGCAACTCGGAGCTGGTTAATTCACCTGAAAGCAGACGGAATTTTGTCTATAATAGGATATTGACTTTCTTGGAAGATAGTATTAGATTCTTTGAGAGAGCTGAACGCGATCCTAACAGAGTTTGTACGGCTGAGATAAGCTAGACAATCATGAACTTCGATGACACCTTTCATTGTGGTTATAACTAATTACAACTGTTAACTCATTATTTTTGGTAATAAGTCGCTTATCATGGTTCTCTATTTTACTTAAGCGCTTTTTCTAATAATCGTTTTTTAAACATTACCTACCTATCTACCCGATAAGACCGGCTTTGTGTTTTATTCTCTTTAGTTAGTTTGTGTGAAATACGCAAAAATTAACCTTCTAGAAAGTCAAATGTTGCGTTGGTGAAGACGTCAGTTCCTCTAGCGTCTGTCGTGGCAACTACCCGGACGCCTCTGACGGGGTTGTCCGGGGTGGCGTCCGCCATCATCAGCGCCACGTTGTCCCGCACCTTGATCGCGCGCGCTTCCCCGTCCAGGATCGCGGTCGAAGCCAGCTGGTCCAGCAAATGGAGTAGGTCGCTGGGAATCTCTAGTTCTCCGTCATCCACGTCTAAGATTTCGTTAACCTGCAATGAGTATGTATTAGCATTAAATTAAGTAGGCTGCCTAACCCCAGTTTAGTTCTCAACTGACAAACATCATCATCTTCAGGTCATTTATCCCTTGACGAGCACGACCCTCTCTTAATTTGTATTATCAAAAGCTAATAACGGGCTTAAAATCGAGTTTCTGGAACCATCCTCCTACAGTCATTTGTCCGTTATTGTACTGTTTACCAACACAATTTTCTGTCGGCAAATGTTTCGCTAAATCTTACAATCGAGCTTAATTCCAGTATGTATTCGATTAATTGAAGTTATTTTTTTTATCAAAGATCGAAACGTACCTGGTCAAAAGGCCGTTCAAGACTCTCCAGGGTCACTGTACCATTCAGGAGAAGATTTTCTAGTTCTGTAATAACCTCGTTCAGCTGCTCTTGAGGCTGAAAAAAAAATTATTAGATTTATATGTGACTATTAAGTATACCAAGTTTTGAGAGATAACACATGGTACAAACATGTTTTTTTATGTTAGGATGACACCTCAGTTAGAAACATTTAAGGATTGGAAAATAAATAATTAGAATATCGTGTTACATGCAAACAACAAGCGAATAATTAGTCATGCCTTAATTTGAAGGTAAGTCATAGAAGATGAAGATGAAGTTAGTGTTGACAGCGTCATGCACTTACAGGCCTCTGCGTGGTGGAGGGCAGCTCAGGCGATTCAGTGGTTTCCTCAGAGAGCTCAGTAGTTGAGTATGGAGTGTTCACTGTGCTGACTTCTGTGGGGTCATTCGTGGATAAGTGTTCTGTGGAGACGCTCCAGGATGTGTCCGGGTTAGTGATGTTCACGGTCGTCTCCGGGAAAGTGGAATTGTTCGGTTCGGTTGTAGTGACGTTCACAGTGTCCACTGGCGGTGTCGGCGGCGGCTTGATCTCGGAGGATTCACTGGAACTGGAGCTACTCTCTCTGTGCTTGAAGTACAAGTGGTTTTCGGTCTACAATAAAGCAGCATGTTATGCGCCTGTTAGTTTAAATAGCATTAGTGGCTTTTGATTAAAGTGCTGGGTACATTCATGTAGGCTCGATTGGTGCGATTCCTTGCGCATGTAGTCAAAATACTTAGTTTTGTTAAATTTTCAGGTCATGCAAATGAATGCGTAATTTTACAAGTTTTTAGATAAATACATACCTACATATTTCTTAATGATGTCTGGGGTCTGCGTGGGCAGGCCTCCTACTAGGTGGACCGACGATCTGGTAAAGGTCGCGGGAAGAGCCTGGATGGGGGCAGCGCAGGACCGTTCATTATGGAAAACCTTGGGGGAGGCGTTTGTCCAGCAGTGGACGTCATTTGGCTGAAACGACGATGTCTGCCGAGGCATTTTGTAAGGCCTCACGAGGGAGAAGGATAAAGAAGGTCATCAGTATAGATCAGTCTTTCCCAAAGTAGGCGATAACGCCCCCTTGTGGGCGCTGCAGGCTTAAAGGGGGGCGGTAAGAGACCCAGAAAAAAAATCGGGACGTTGTGTAGAGGCTTGGGAGGCGTCATTTACTAGGAGGTCTCTTAGACACCGACTGAGCACTCGACTCTCGACTACAAATAGGTGCGCTAAAAAGAAATTATTCTTAAAGTGGGCAGTAGACAAAATAAGTTTGGGAACCGCTGGTATAGATAGACCTACCTTATTAGGCAGGGGTATAGCGGTAGGCATCGGCGGTATAAGGGCGAATTCGGCGACCAGCTCTGTGGTCGTCGGGGTGCAGTCTGGTTGAGCCGTCTCCAGCCACTGCACACCCTCGTTGAAGTCCCCCACACACGTGAACACGCTGCAACCAGGTGTCTCTGATTCTCCTGCAACGATATTAAAACCAGCTGATAAATGTTCACCTGAAGTGGTGGATAACACCGGTCAACAAAAAAAAAATGTTTTGCGCATGGATTTCACTTATTATATTCTGATTATACAAGGTGTTAGGTAAATGGGTATATGAGCCGACACTAGCCCATGTTAACATGGTCATATAAATGGTATGGTGAAGTCAGAAAATTGATATCTTCATTTTAATTATTTTAATTTTCATACAAATCGGATTTTATAAAATTTATTTTGTATGAAAATAAAAAAAATAAAATGATAATATCAAACTGACTTCACCATACCATTTATATGACCATGTTAACATGGGCTGGTGTCGGCTCATAAACCCATTTACCTAACACCCTGTATAAGCTTTATATAAAAAGTGCGATTACAAATTGAAAATATTTGCTTTTTAAGAAGTTATAGCGATTTGAATTTTCCATTCTCATAGTAGAATGTCTATAAAGATGCACGTTACATCCTCATTGGGATACATTTATAAAAGCAAACTCAGAACAATTTTTTGTTGTTATTCTATTTCTAGGTATTAATTTCTAGGTATTAAAGCACCTACAAATTTCCTAAAAATAGATTTGAAAGGCACAACTTTTACATATTATTCATTAATGTAAACACCTATTTAACACCTACCTATATCATATACGATAAACACTTATGGATAGAAAATCAATCAAGATAATTTGATAGTACAATAATTTATTTAAAGCCTTAATTCTTTGAAGATCCAATACCATGACCGAGGTTTTAACAGTCATCTGTGACGGCACCTCTCAATACAAGTGCACTTTAACTAACACGAGTGTAGGCAAATATTAAAACTGAACACAAGTATCGCAAAACATTGTCTTCACCTTTGCGAACGCGTAAATTATAATAGAGCCTTAAATTATTTAAAACTCGTGATTTTTAAATGTCAGTGCCCAACAACAGTTAACTTTTTACTACTTATCGTTTAGATAAACTCGGATTAACTTATTTAGGTAACTGCTCCATAAATGTAATAACTGTAATAACTTTTTGTGCTGTCTTTATTATATTCCAATTCATAAAATAAGATTTTGTCAAATGAATAGTTGTCTTTTACATTAATTTAGTAATAATTGTTCTCAGTACAGGACTTATTAATGAGTTTGATTGAATCCCACGTTGGAAATAATAAATTACTCTTTTGTCAAGATTTTAGAGCAGTGGTTCTTAACCGGTGGTCCGCGGACCACTGGTGGTCCCTGGAGGCATTCCAAGTGGTCCACGAAGACATCGTAATAAACAAGTGACGTGACGTGATGAGTCGAGTCAACACAACGCAAACGGCGCACAGTGGGCGAGAAATCGACCTCCCCTTTCATAGGATTTGGAAAAAAATATAAGTGGTCCCTGACAAGACAGAAATTTGGTAAAATGGTCCCTCGTGACTTAAAGGTTAAGAACCACTGTTTTAGAGGATCATTGGAAGAAACGAGCAGTGTCTCGCCTTTGACCCATGAACCGGCACTAGGGACTAAATGAGATGATTATAATTGCGTGACTCACCACTTGTGGCTACTTTATGAGTGTAAAACTTCGCTAATTACCATTTAACAGTTCTCAAATAATAAGCCAAAAAAATCACAACTTATTTGACCCATCACCTATATCCTTATAATAACTACAGGGTGACTCCGAAATCGTTGGCATCCTTTTAATATAAGACTCTACTCATGATACATAGTGCATTCCCTAAATATGAGACAAATCCGATGAGATTTTTTGTCATTATTTTTACTATGTATTTCTATTAGTATGCTCTCTTATAAAGAGTTTAAAACTATTGTTCAATCAACAACACATCAGCCTATACATTTTATTGCAAAATAACACTTAATACATCGAAATCAGATGCTACACTATTAAGCTTGATGTGCTGTCGTCTGAACAAGATTTTAAATGTTGAAATTTTAACTCATTGGATTTGCCTCATATTTGGGAAATGTACTATGTATCATGAGTAGTCTTATTTTAAAAGGATGCCAACGATTTCAAAGTCACCTTGTATAGCAACACCAACTTACCAAGTTTTCGGCTGGGCAGAGACTCGAAACCCTTGCAGACGTACGCAGGCCTCATGAAGACCACATCCAAATAACTGAAGCCATCCCCAGTATACCCGAGGGATATCCTCGTGCCTGGAGGCAGCGGCTTCATCTCAGGGCCCAGCTCGATGTGAAGCAACACCGTCCTCAAGTCTAAATGTAATCTCTTTATTCTCGAATCGCGTATCACCTCCGCTTCAGACATTCCCCACACATCTTTCTCCCCCATGAATGATCGCAGCATTCCCTCGGTGATGTTCTCGGAATCGCCGAACTCTTCAATGTACCGGGTCCGGTTAAAGATGAACTGTTTGATCTTCTCCTTCCAAGATCGGTGCAGTGAGTCTATATACTTGACGTTGTAGTCGCTGCTGAGACGGATCTTGGTGGCGTAGAGGTTAAGGGTGTCTTCTTGACGCTTCACAAACAATGTCTTGTTGGACGCTGACACAAAGTAGTTTTTGTAGTCTCGCTGCATGCACCAATAGTAGCCGTCGTACGTCGGATCTAGGTGAAACTTGTAGTCATCATCGTCCTTCTCAATTTTCACTTGCGAAGCGTAATACTTCATGGAATCCGTGAAACAGCGGATTTCGTTTTTCTTTATGGGTCTGTCAACTGTTAATACTAAATCGTTGTCCCTGAAAACAAAAATGTCTGCTGTAATAGCGCATACTTGGGCCACTTAATTTATTATCTTAGCTGGGGTACCATATAATTAGGTATATTTCAGTTCTAAGTTACCTACAAGCCTGAAATACACTACTAGTAAATAATTCATATTTTTACATAATTAATTCTACACTAAGAACTATTTAATAAATATCCCTAATTAAATTAATTATTGTTATCACAAATAATAATTAACATTTAATAATAGAGCACTATTTTAGAATCTTTATCCTGTATACACTTTGAGTCTAATAAATATAATGAATTAATAGATTTATTAAAGGAAAAACAATTGAAATGACAGATATCAATACTGAATAATCAAATTCATATTTATTTATTATTACTTTTCGTGTCTATTTACGGTAAATAATTATTGATTATTTGTCTGTATATCAAAATAGTTTGTTTCCCTAATATATGTAAATACAAAAATAAATTGTCATTTCACATAAAAATTACGTTCGTCTAGTATTTTATCAACAATCCCAATCCCAACTAATATTATAAATGCGAAAGTAACTCTGTCTGTCTGTCTGTCTGTCTGTCTGTCTGTCTGTCTGTCTGTTACGCTTTCCCGCTTAAACCTCGCAACCGATTTTGATGAAATTTGGCATAGAGATAGTTTGAGTCCCGGGAAAGAACATAGGATAGTTTTTATCCCGGTTTTTGAAACAGGGACGCGCGCGATAAAGTTTTTCTGTGACAGACAAAATTCCACGCGGGCGAAGCCGCGGGCGGAAAGCTAGTATCATTATAGACTTGCCTAGTAGAGCGACCGTTATCCAGTAGAGGGGTCAGATATCTCTGGATATGCCGACATTATTAATTGAAATGAAATGAACTTACCTTAATTACCTTACTTTAAGTAACAAAGTCATTCATCGTTATATGAACGAAATTCATCATCAACGCTTAACTACTTGATTTTAATACCTGGGTAAATGTTAAGACTTACTTTTCAACACTAAGTTCCAACTTGATGTGCTCTAGCTTAACCGGTCTCTCGCAAATTACTTTGTAGAAGATGAAAGAACTGTTGACCAGTTGCCATGTCTCGTTGGCGATCGCAACATAACGTCCATCTGGGCTCTCGGAAACTCTATCAAAATGCCATTCGGATTCTGGAACCTGAAAATATTTACGATTAGGCTGGATTGCGGCAATAACCGTAAGTTTTGCAACTCTGAACCTGTTGTCATGAAATCTATATAAGACAAGTACTTGAGTCTCTCTAAATAAGGTAACAAATTCCTTAATTTTAAAAACTTTATGCCAATCGTTAAGGAATGAGGGCTATTGTTTTAGCGCTCACCAGTTAGCGCCACTGTAGAGTAAGGTCCTGTCAATCGCCAGGGGTGCCAACTGTTAAGTATAAAAACGATAGCCCTCATTGATAAAGTGCTCGCGCTTTTCATTAGTGCCATTCTCATATCCATTTATTACTCACATCAACTTACCCTAGAAGTATCAAATTCCGAATCAAGCCTCAGCAATTGATTGTCAGGAGTCATAGTAAAACCCAGCGGGAATGGGTACATAGAGCGTGACTCCGCTATATTCAGAACCGGACTATTCAGGAGCCTCCAGCCTCCGTTGATCACGGTGCCTCCTCTCTTGAAGCACATGTCCTTCGCTTGAGCGAACGTCGCGCGCAGCCCGCCGCCGCCGGCACCGCTCACTACCGTCAAACACGTCGACGCCGGGCTAAAGAACCGCGTGGAGTTATCAAACCCCTTACAATCTTTCCTAATTCTCTCATCGCTGTCTGGATATGGCTTCACAAAACAATATCTATAATGCCTCTCGTCCGCGTTACATTCCACCGCCGTAAAGTTACTCACTGGGTCTATCACCACGCATAACTCCACGTCAATTCCCAGCGACGCGTCGTATTTCACATCATACGTGTTATAAAAAGGTCTTCCGGTGGAATCTGTGTACGACCAATCCACGAATGGTCCTCCCGGATAAGTAGATTTGAAGTCTGTCCATATAACATGATTCGTTTTGGTTAAGTTCAGACTGTGGTACAGTTCAGTCGTGAATATGTTGCCGGCGCAGTCTTTGAATTTGTCTGTGAATAGTTCTGGGGTGTTTTTGAGGCGGTAGCAGACGGGTTTTCTGTCTGTTGTGTAAGCGAGGTCGAATCCGATGGGGCATAGGTGGGTCTTCGGTTTCTTCGCCGCGGCGTGCTGGGCCAGCGCCAGAAGCAGGGCCGCGCTGGCGAGGAGCCCCCGCGGCAGTCGCATCTGCAACAGGAAGGCTCGTGTGATGAGTTCCGCTATCATATCTGACAGATACGGCCGCCAATCAAGCACTTACAAACGCAATTATCGCTACACGGACTTTATCGTGCTGATTGAACTACGGCAACCTTTTGTTTTGCTATGTCATAGTAGAATCAAATGTTTTGTAGTCCGCAATAAACAACATTTTAACTTTGTTAGTCCTAGTCCATAGGGAATTCGTATATTTTTGTAAATAAAGTTAGTAGTTGGTACTGAGTCACCGAGGTCAGTGCTAGTGGTCATTTAAATGTGCAGATTACGTTTTAGGGAAACACTAACAAAGTACAATGACATGTTATCAGGCTTATCGTTTTATTTGTTGCTAATTTGTGTATTGTATTATTTCAATTAGGAATATCCAATACTATTATTAATAGAGGGGTACTAAATAGTATTTTGGTTGCCATAAAAGTGCATTACGATTACTTATCTAATACTATACTATGGTCTCATTCGTATTACGCATGACACAAAGCGAATCTGGCAGATGATGCCTTCATTGCAATCGTTCACCTTGTACAGTCACGGAATGAAAAGGTTCGTCAGTTTTCAAATTGATTCCTTCAACGAATCGCGAGCACATATTACCTTTTGAAACTATGTTACAGAATAATCTCGAGTTAGAGAAAATAATCTTTAACTGTTCGTCAATAAAGTTCAAAATTATTCAGATCAAAGTTGTTTGACGATTTAACTTGTCAAGAAGATTATTATGATTGATAAACTAAAACCTTCTTGTTGGTTCAACCTGCCATTATCTATTGAAAAAAAAACTAGACATGTTGTAACATTGCACTGATGGGATAGAAAAATAAACAAGCAAAACCTCATTCGTTAGCAAACGTCATATTTATTTAAATGTTAGCAGCATTGTTTCTTGCACGGTTATGTTGGCAGGTTTGACTCTTACAGTACCTAGTGCAAGCGAAAACCGACACTAAGGTGACGAACCTTTTCATTCCGCGACTGTACATGTACAGTTCTATGGCATCAAAGCTTAAATAAATAAATAAACCTCTTAACTTCATAGCCAGACCCTAGCAAACCATTTAGGTAGAGCACACAGCTAAAACATGACAAATACTTGAAGGTGGCCAATGGCCATTGCATTATTACGTACTCCAAACGGGCAAGTTAGTACATAATAACAGTACGAGGATATTCGTGCAGGCAAATGGAATGATCTTGATATCATGATAACGTAATAATAAATTCAAATTCAAAATTATTTATTGCGAAACATAGGTGTTATATTGCACCAATCAATATACTGTGCGTTCTGCAACCAGCGTAAATGGTCAGCCACAAAAAACAACTAATCTCTTAAAATTCTTGTGTCACAGTGTTTGCAACAAAACTCCTCCGAAACGGCTTGACCGATTGTTATGAAATTTTCTGCGTGTAACCCATAGGTCCTAAGCTGCCCGCATCCAGGCTCTTCCCGCGACCTTTACCAGATCGTCGGTCCACCTAGTAGGAGGCCTGCCCACGCTACGTCTTCCAGCCCGTGGTCGCCACTCGAGAACTTTCCTGCCCCAACGGCCATTTCATTCATTCGGTTCATTGTGGAAAACCTTGGGGGAGGCCTTTGTCCAGCAGTGGACGTCATTTGGCTGAAAAGAAAGAAGAAGAAAGAAGAACCCATAGGTCTGAGAATAGGATGTAATCTATTTTTCATGCCCATAGTTAATGAGGGTTTTTCAATAAATAAAAATTCTTTCGATAACTACCAAAACTCTATTTTGAGGTCAGAGATTGTACTAACTACGAGTAAGTAATCGACTAGACCAAATAACGGATATGCTCACTTGCTAATGTAATACAATATACCTACTTATTAATTATTATCCTTGTCCCACTTACGATTTGCCGGTAGGTGGCCGTCAGTGTAATTCCCATGATAAAAATATTACGTCTTAATAACCATTTATTTCCGTAAATATATCCCGGAACGAAATTAACACCCTGTATGAATTGTAAAATGAGTTTTTTACCTTCGCGGTCAAGCGTGGTCGTCCGTTCCGCTGTCACCGCACATCGTTATCCGGCCTTGCTTCCCGGAGATAAAGCACAAACTTGCTTGGTCGCCCGTTTTCTCACAGATTAAAGTTCCGCTGGTAGGTCTGAAACAAAAAGTTTATTGTTTACTTGACTCGTCGAATACTGTTACCGTGACATCACAATAGTGTAAACAGAATCAGTAGGCAACAGTCTGCTTAAAATCGTGTAGGTATGTATTAATATTTCTTCGTAACCATTCAGTTAGCTTCTTGACACACGAAAATGTAAACATAACAGAACATCCGAAGTTTAACTCTTAATAGAACGACTCATAGTAACAATTTATAGTCAATTTGAAGTACATTTTATAAGCTTATCAAACGCGACTCTCTCATAGACTTTTTATGCCACCAGTTCGTGAACTTAAAGGTACTAAAAATATAACTATACAGAAAATTGAAAGTCATCAAGATTTTCAGGGCTAGATAAAAACAACAGCGTTTTTGTAATTATTGGTTAATTACACCATTAACGACATAACATCTAAATAAAATGGATGGCCCTTCTGACACTTTTTTCTTTTGCACCTGTACCGTAATTCGCTCTGGGAACCAGGTATTTAAGCCATAAAAAGATGCCGCCGTATTCGGGTATTACAATTATAATTAGAATTTAATTTCACGCCATTTTTAGCATCGGATCGCTAAGTAGCTCCAACATTACGTGCTGCTTGCGTAAATACTTATATTTTGTGCATGTACTAAGAGCTTGTATTATTTATGTAATTTAACAATTAATTGGTGTTCTTGATGAAATTACATTTTTATTAAAATAAAAATAATTGTATATTAACTATTTGACTTTAATAGAACGACTTGTTTTGGAAAAAAAATAACTAAATAACGTTAAATTTTAGTTGACCATATTAATTTAAGTAATTAATTAAATGTGGGGAAATATGAATATACCTAGTGTAGCAAAGCGCATGAGCAAAATTGTGACATTGAATGCATTATTTACATTATTCACTATAGCACACAACATATTAAGTAGATACGTAGATAGTAACATATTAAAAAAAATTTGGTATTCTTATTCGAGTTTCCAAGTAAAATGCCACTTAGCTTTTTCTTGAAATCGATTTAAAGATAATTTTTGTAAGGCGAAGGTTAATTTTAATGTTTTAGTTCGAATGCAGTTTTAATGTAACCTGTATTAAGGACAATGCAATCACTGCATTCTTTGGTTAATAATGAGTGCGTCGCAAGGTCCTATTGTAAAAAACATAAGCCTCCTTCTAGCGCAGTCGGATAAAAACGGTTGCGGGTAAATATATGTGACAATATTTATGCGCAACTTTTAAGCGTCTAATAAATATTTGTATTTTTTGTAAGTTTGTTTTTATTTCTTATCAATTGATAAGTAAGTACCTAATAATCTGTTACGATAATATTTTTATTGTGTAAAAAAACCCTAGCCAATGATATAATTATGTAGGTAACACGTTTATTGCAATAAATATGCTCCTCTTATAGCATAAAAACACACTCATTATCTACCTACATAATTATTATATTATTAGAGATGGAAACATGTTTGTAACGCATATTCGTGTGCCTAATTGTTACATGCTATCAAAATCATGCTAAGAACTACCTATTTAAATAACTAACTATTTAAATAAATCAACTTTTTATGCCAAACATCTAACCACTCTAATAGAACATTTTCAATGACGTTAGATATTGTCTTATACCTAAACCCTGATGTTATCGTGATGCTGTATCAAATACTTTACCTCAAATTCAAATAATTTATTAGCATTTACATCATCATCATTTCAGCCAGTCATTGCTTGATAAGTTTATCATTGACGAAATGTAGTATAAATACGAATTACAGGACTTATGTAGAATCATAGCAACAATAAGCACTATTAACTTGGATTAATATCATTGCCTGCAGGTTACATGTCATCTCAATTAAAACAAATAGCCACAATTTTGTACGCTGATGGAGCTAGCGTGATCCTCAGCAATTAATCTAGGAAGTGATCGGTCTACGTCACGTAAAAACCTGTTATTATTTATGTTGTTACACGTTATTAAGTTCATTCATTGATTTGACGCTGGCATCTTTACAGAAATGCTAAGCGGATGTCTCATTATCATTTCAAACTGGGCATTTAAAGGTATATTCCACTTGATCACCCAGGTGATCAAAGTGGATTTCAGGCAACACTTTGGAGTACTTTGATCATCCATGGATAAAATCACCTAGGTGATCAAATCAAAACCATGAGTGATCAAAGGACACCAAAGTGTCATCTAGACTCCACTTTGATCACCTGGGTGATCAAATCCAGGTGATCAAAGTGGAAGACGATGGACGGTGGTCGCCAAATGCTACCCTAAAACGATGTTAGAGGCAGAAAAGAACAAGACACGGTAAAGACTTCTAAGAGGTATTTGATACAATCTTGTGGGATTCTATTTGGCTATTGCACAAGTCATTTAGTAATAATATTTATCGTTAAAGAAACGTTGTAATGGGCATTCGTAATTATCGGGTCAAATTGTTATCATAATGTGTATAGCGCTTAGCTTTCCCCGGGTAAACTGAGGAGGCTATCGCTGCTTTCCGAAGTAGTCAGTGTTCAATGAAAAAGGCAAACATTATCTTTCGGGATCGGGATATAATGCTGCTAGATGCTTTCCTTAACTTTGAACTCCTTCTATATTCTTCTGATTCATTTCGTTGCAGGTCAAATGACAGTTTCAAAACTTTCCCTCTTGACAAACTTGACCTTCGCAGGTTGGGTTTTTATTTGCGGTCAAGCTGTAGATCCTGGCTACACAGGAGTTGCAGCGGTGGGAATTGTCCCGTTGAGGTGCGTTCGTCCGTTACGTCGACCCAGCCATCAGAGAGTACCTATCTTCGCCTAAAATTTTATTTTATTTTTATTTTCACCAACTTGTACTATATCTTCACAGGTCAATAAATAAATGTAACTTGCCATCAATTTAATACCAACATATTTACGATATTATGTTCGTGCAGAGTCAAACAACAATATAAATAGCAAAAAATTGTGCAGGTGGCAATCAAAAGTCGGTCGTTTATCAATATCTTTGTTGGACGTGTTTTATCTGTTTGCTTTTAGCACACCTTGCAGATTGCGACGGTGACGTCACGAATACAACGAATCTTCATTGTACATGTGCACTTAGGATTTCTAGGTTTCAGATTGCTTCAGAATAACGAATCGGAAAGTGTCAAGGAATCAGGAATTCCCAAAATAATAGTATCCTAGTAAGAATTTTGCTTCTATCTTTAAAATCCGGGAAAATTTTAATCTATCTAAATATTGTACTCGTATATTTTATGTCAACGTGAAATTGTGAACTCTGTCAGCTTATAATATAACGCGTTAGATTGTAAACAAACAGTGGGTTAGGTTAGGTTAGATTGTAATTTAACTACGTCAGATTATAATCTGACGGAATTCACAAATTTACGGTGACATATATAACTCAAAAGTGACTGACTGACTGACTGACTGACTGACTGACTGACATAGTGATCTATCAACGCACAGCCAAAACCACTGAACGGATCGAACTGAAATTTGTCATGCAGGTAGATGTTATTACGTAGGCATCCGCTAAGAAAGGATTTTACGATACTAAGGGAGTAAAACCGGATACACGCGTACGAAGTCGCTGGCGGCCGCTAGTATTTCATAAAATTAATTCTTTTGTTAATCAGTTAACATGTCGTTTGATGTACTTAATTAAATTTTTCGTACTAAATACATAGGTACGAGTATGTATCTACTTAATTTATTTAACGAGGCCCGTCCCTAGCTCTGATTAAAGATAACAGTAGTTCAAGGTGACTAAACTTCGCCTCGGATCGTCTAAATGTGTCATTTTTCAGTAATTTGCACATTTCAGCTAATTTTGAGTCAGCACGACTATTATTAAAGACGAGATTTTCGCAGAATTCGTAAGTTTTCGAGGATATTGAAGCCAGATAAATGAGATACGAATGGCTTATACAAATACAATCTTAAGATAATTAATCCATGGGAAATATAATCCAATTTAGGCCCGATTCGACCAAACTTTTATCCGAGAATAACTCCAAGTATAACTGGCACATTGACAGTTTCAGTATGGAAAATCCTTGTCAAAACTGACGATTTATTCTGAGATTAATATTTACTCTTTTTTGGTCGAACCCACGCTTAGTAGGTAGTAGAACCGACATTTAAGCTCTACTTGAAATTTAATAAACTGTAGCATTGGATGACCTGCCTGATGGACGGACGATATCATTATTTTTCCGAGCATTGCTGGAAGGTCTGGTTCAGCAGTGAACATCAATGCTGGGGTGATGATGAGTTTCATTACAATGAATCATCGATAACAACCGTGGAAAAGTCGGAAAACGTGCTGATAATATTACCGAAAACTTATCTAACACTTTGATTATGATACACATTCGTGTAAACCTTTAATGACCATGATTTTCCCTGAATGGTGGGTGGAAGGGGAGTGCTGCTAAATATATCATTTTTTATCTTGATATGCAATCTCATACAATATACTGGTCATATTAACGACTATGTTTTCCTTAATATTTCAAAGGTTTTTCAATTTCAATAGTTACTGTTTTGAACAAAATCCTCTATTCTATCAAAATTAGCCAACTAGTTGTACCCGTGACTTCGTACGCGTGAAAATTGGATCATTTTTCCCGTTTTTTACAACATTTTTCGTTGATGCTCCGCTCCCTTTGGTCGTGGTGTGCTTGTAGTTGATAGAAGCAGTATGTTTCCTTAAGTTTTAGAGCGTCCAACCAAAAATAGTCTTCAACTTTATAATATTAGTAGAATAAAAAATATAGTATAATGTGCAATTTGTGCATTACAAATTAACTTATAAGTCTATTAAGAAATACTCAAAGATTGTTCAGTTTTGTTTGAAAGAGTAACAAATTCTCATCCAAGCTCACAAACTGTCACGTTTATATTAGCAGGATTACTCATACTCATAATATACTCAAGTAAATTCTAAAATTATATGAAAGTTTGCTTAATCCATCAAAAACGAGTAAA